CCTTGTGAGGTATATTTAAGGTGAGTAATTATCTAGGATTCATTTATTTTTTTTTCTTCTTTGGCAAACTGTGCACAGGACACAAAACTTGTTTTCAATGTAGGTGATTTTCTCATTCACCACATTTTCTTAAAAAGCTTCTGCAAATCCCACTAATATTCACTGGTATCTTGGGATCCTTGAATCTCAAACTTGCCTAAATTTTAGGGTTAGTGTTATGTTTTATTGAAAAATAATTGACTGTATCCAATTATTTCAAGAATATTTTCTTTTAGATAAGGAAATTTTATTGATTTGGTTAGTCCATGAACATATAGTTTATCTTAGTCTGGCATAAGGCCACATAACAAAGGGAAATAATGCATTGCACCCATCTTCGAAGTAAAGAGGATCTGCTTGCTACTTTAAAAATTATCATTTCATATCCTGGATGTAAATATCAACTATTGATAAGGATGAGAAATACACAATTATTTTTGTTACTATACAACCCAAGCATCAACTTTATTGGGTTATATCCAAATAATTTTTGTTTTTTACTTTCTAAATATCTCTTTTTTTTTTCCTTTCTTTAAAATTTAACTTATATTATGTTTCGCATATGGTATCTTTCAATGATGTTTTTTTTTTTTCAAGTGCTAATTGTAAGATTTTTTTCTACTTTGCATTTTAAAGCAGCATAACTAAAACTTATGCGTTCTATTTCAGGTAATGTATCATTACCAAAGCAATACCTATAGGTATCGCCCTAATCACTATCCTTAAAATGATTAAACAACTCTTGAGAAGTATTTTTAGATATTGTTTCATTTCCTTCCACTTCCCAAATTCTGTGAACAATTTTAGCAGATTTTAGGTCCATACCAAATAATGCCCCCAAATGATCTTAATCACATTACTTGCATCTGTAATTCTAACACCTAAAAGAAAAGGTATAATTAAATAGAATATTGTTAATAATATGGTGAAATCATAGGTAGTTTTTAGATGTGTACATAAAAATAAGCTTTGGAGTAAAACTATGTAAATAAAAATAAAATAATATATATATATATATATATATATATATATATATATATATATATATATATATTCTTTTCATACACTCAATTTGATTTTTATGAGAAATGTTAGGTAAACTATATTTCTTGATTCTACCAGGTCTCACTTTCGCAGCTAAAACCTTCCATGCCACTTATATAGTTGCAAACCACCCAAATTCCCTCCATATTCCATCAGCAAGAAGTAAGTTCCACTCAAACAGCTTCTTCCCACAAACCTCTATGGGACAGACTCACAAGATGATGTCCCCACCCCTGATCACTACAATCTTGTTCAAGTCTAGAGTTAACTGTTATCTTCATCTCCTATCCATATAAACTACCCCTTAATATAGCCTTCTACCTCAAGTGGCCCCTGGGTCTTGTACAGGGTGAACCTTACTGTAAAAAGAAAAAAAAAGATAATGTGACACTAAAATTCAAATATTAAAATTGGTATTAAAATATCATACCAGCAAGTTTTACATTATTCTAATTGTTGTTCATTTTGCATTGATCTCTTATTAGTTTATCTTGAAGCTATTTGCAGAATCATTTTTGCATAGTAACAATTCCTGGAAATTATTATTGTAATAAGAAAATGGTTGATATGTTAATTACATTTTTTTTTTTTTTTTATTAAACCACAACTTCAAATGAAATTTATACCTATATAGTATCAAATTTCTTCAGTTAGTACTTTTCTCTTGAAAAAAAAAAAAATTATAATATTTTTAACAAAATTTTCACATTGTAAATTGTCAGTTTAACACATTGACAGTTTTTATTATGATGCTGATTATGAATTATCCTAGCATTTTCTGATACAGTTTTGTCTGCGGGTGCCAACAGTTTGTAGAAATACTTTTAGTCTGAAAACAATGATATTTAAGCTTAAACTATAAGTCAACTCATAAATTATTGTTTTATTGTCTAAGTTGGTGTTTTGAAGTCAGATTTGGTAATTGACCTCTAGCAGTAAGTGTGTTAAGTTGTGCTAGTTGTTTTGTAGTTTTCTTTTGAAATATTTATTGAATTTGTACTTTAGTCTAGCACAAATCCAAATAGTTTAGGGTAATTATGCTGTACCAAACTTTGAAAAACTTGCTTTGAAAATAGGTATTCAATCCTTATTTTTTTTTTTTTTTTTTTTTGTAATGTTGACCCAAACAGCAACTATTGGTAACAGTAGTAAATGAAACAAACCCAATAATAATTGCATATATAATTAATGCATATTCCATATTTTGTAGCTTACAGAACATATCTAACATGAGATCTGTTATAAAAATAAAACTGAAAGAAATTTTATAAACTTTTGCACCCTATCTTACTGGGCAAAATTTGTACATCCCAAGCTTTAAACTGGATAACAGATGATTTAGTGGTGGGCGGGGAGTATGTTTATATGTTGCAATATACTGCATGCAGATACAAGGTATATCTGGAAGGCATCCAGCCATTAATATTAAGGATAAAAATATCCTACATAGAGCAGTGAGACTTTAGTTCCTTTCGAATTACTTCCCCTGTGATTTCAGATACTTGTCCCAGCGACACTTCAACTTTTCATAACGGTTTGCAAAATCCTCTTTGGGGACTGTAGTTAAACTGACAGACCTTGGTAATATACCACCACCCACCTCCCAAATACCTTCATTGGATGTGAAGATGAATGGGCTATGGGCTGGTAAGTTGTTATGATAAATGTAATGGTCATGCAGTACACAAGCTCCTTTAATAATGTTTGTTATGGGAGGGTGTTTATGCATGCACAGTAAGGTCCCTTCTGGTTGATTGCAAAGTTACATTAAGGCCAAACTAGTTCTTGACATATTCAAAAATGGCTGGATACTTTCGAGAATGGTGGTGGTGGTAGTGGGGGGGTAGCACACACACACACACACGCACACTTTCTGAAATTAAATTATTAAATATTATTTTAAGTATCAAATACCATTACTTACACACGAAGGAGTGCTGAACAATCCCTTGCCTAACCCCACTGAAAAAAATATTGGTTGTTGGGTTAGATTTCAAAAAGTGTTATCACTCCAGGCAAGGCAGTAAAGCCACTGAGGCTCAAAGGGCTACTGAGTTTGAAAAAGTAAAGAGAAACATTAAGGATTGAGAACAATAAAAGAAGAGGAACTAAGAAGCCAGTAGATAATGATTAACATTGCATTTAAATTTTTGAAGATCAAATTTGACTAAACTGAGAAATTGTGTCTGTGCATGTGTCTACACACACAAGTTGGCCATTTGGTTAGATTTTGGAAAATGAGTTGAAGTGAGAACAGAATTAGATAGATATATCTAGTTATATAATTATTTTTATATATCTATCTATCTATCTAATTTTGTTAATATATTAACAAATTATAACTAGTGGGGTCTGCCTCCTGACATCAGTGGTTAGTGTTCATACACAGGTAAAAATAACAGGATTTTAAATGCCCTTCTCCTTTGGAAGATTGATGAAACAATTTTAACATTTAGCCTTAGTAAATATTTATAAAATACTATTTTAAGTATTGTGAGCAAGAAAGAGAGGGTGGAGAAAATTTGGCCATTTGGTTAGATTTTGGGAAGTGGGTTGAACTGAGAAGAATCTTGTTAATATATTAACACAGAAACACAATTAGATAGATATCTAATTCTATTAATATCTAAGCTTCTCAGACCAACCCATTGGCCAAACTTTATGGTTTCTGTTAATTTTTATATTGATTTGTATATTTAACTATTTCTTGAGATCACTGTTTTTTGGCATAAGCTCTACAAAGAAAGTGTATGGAAGTTATGACTCTGAGTAAATAATTGTAAACTCCCTTACATTTGTATATACAAAAATACTCATAAAAATGAGAAACAGCAAGATGTGGAAACAAGAAAATGAGTATTATTTATTATCTGGATGTTATCTGACAATATAGTTAATTTTTTATTTATGTATTTCTTTATGGATGCAAAAGTAAAAGTTTGCATCTTCCACTATTGGTTACAGGAAATGGTCTCTAAAACTAAATATTGTAGATGTTTATAAAAAATGACCAGGAAAATTAATTTTAAAAAGAGAAAGCTTTTATATTGACAGCAATTGAATATGAAAATATTTCATATTTCATTGTATAAAAAAAACAAAAAAACTTCATAGCCAAATTAAATCCATTTTGATTGCTGGCTTAGTTATCAATAAAAATTAAAATCATTTTTCTTATTAAAATGCTTTACCTATTCAAGGTACAAAATCATAAGTAAATTTTCATTAGTAAGACTTTCAGAATTTCTAATTTTAAATTAAACCAATTGGCTATCATGCAAGTTCAGAATATTAAGAAACAAGAAAATTTCATTAGCAACAAAGAAAATAGTATTGAACTATTATATAATATTGGTCTTCCTATATGGCAATGAATGCTAGACAAGTTCCTCACAGACTTGAAGCAACAGAAATGTAGCTCAACAGAAGGATGCTGAGAATACATAATGATGAAAGAGGCCTTGGAAAATCTGATAGTAGAGGGAAACAAAGCATGACCTACCTAGCAAACTTAAGTAAATGAATGGCAAAAAAGGGTTTAGGAGAGATTACAAAAAGATAAAATTTATCAAGAGCTATAAAGAAGAAATCGTAGAGAGCCATGATCATCAACGTCATGAAGGGATACTGCCCAAGATGAAATATATGTCATTGTTGATTGGTTGGTTGTTTTTGTTTAGTTGTATTACAACCTCTGTGGGTTATTTAATGCTAAAATCTAAATATTTTGCACAAAATTTTTATTTTGGTTTTGGAAATAATAATGGTTTAGTTATACAAGTCTGACTAAATAACCCATAGCTTGGGGGAGAAGAGGTGGATTCATACCATTCCCAAGAGTACTAACTGGAATTGGAACTCGGTTCTCTGATTAACAATTCCATGCCATTATCCATTACACCACTCGCATATCCAAACTTACAGCACCTGGTATTCCCAAGTAGTCACTCATCTAGGTACTGACCAGGCTCAGGGTTGCTTAACTTTAGTGATCATATGGGAACTAGGGTTTCAGTGTGATGTGGCTGTAAGCTGTCGTCATTGAGCCATTGCTATTCTTATATGCTTCAAAAAATCTTTAAACTCCCTGGTTTGCTATGAATCATATGGGCTCACCTACTATTTGATGAGTATACTTGTGTAAGTTGTATTCCCTATTTACTTTATAAGATTTTTTTTCTTCTAAAATGTTTATAGGAATGTAAACTTTATATATTTTTATGAATTATAAATTTTTATTTTCTTTAGTTAATCACTTAATGTTTTAAAGAGTATCTTTCCCACTAATTAGAAATTTAATCTAAAGTTTTGAATTAAAATTTGTCTAAATTTATTTTGATTAGTTTGTTTGATTTTCTTAAATATCATTTAACCAGGATTTTGTCATCACTCCCCCGCCCCATCTTGTTAATTTTTTTTATTTTTTTTATTTTTGAATAGCTTGTTTTGCAATCTTACTTAATTGTCATTTATAATATTGACTTACTTTTTATGTTGATTTTTCTATTTGAATAACTGGTTGGATATTAAAATTGATATCTGCTTCTTTGTTTTTAGCAAAAACATTTCACAAGTTTAATTTTTCAATTTCTTATAAAATTTTGTCTTTATGCTAGTGAAAACTTAGTCTTCGACAATGTATATGCTTTGTTGAATTCGTTTAAAACATAGTGTAAAATTTATTCATAATCATTTTTGATTTTAGCTTACAAAAATCTAAAAGTAAATGTCAAAGTTTTGACTTTGTAATATTATGTTAATAATCATCTTTTTTTTTTCCTGCATGGTTATTATACTATTACAGATAGGAACTATAATTCAAATTACTGTAAAAGGGTTTTATTGGTTGCTAGCATCGTTGTCTGAAGGTCAGCTTATTGATTTTACCCAACTCTATTGCTACTGTATTGTCATAATGGAACAGAGTGAGACTAGTTATACGGTTACAAAAACGGTCACTGCAGCAAAATTGTGCCAGTCATGGTTCAACTACTTTTTAAGTAAGACCTGCAAAAACCTGCAGAAAAAGGATCAAATTCTCAAAGCAAGGTACAAGTCTTATTTCACTTTCACTTTCATAATAATTTTTCGACTTCATCTTTCCTTCGGTCTCTTCTCTCTGTTCTTCTACACTGGGAAACGGGATGTAACTTGATTTCTTTTCTTTCTTTTTTTTTTTTTCCTCTCTTAGTGTAGCCAACAAGTCTTGAATGAATCACACAAGTGGCTGTTATTTGCCTCTTTGTAACCTAGGTCTGTACAAAATGCCAGCTTTAACAGTGTTTAATTCCTAGGGAATTTAAATATCTTTTCCTGCTATGGAGATTTCTTATTCCTTCCATCATCTATACTGGATGGTGCATTGCCGACTACATCTGTTGTAAATATAAGCAGGCTGATTGCAGCTGATTATTAACACTTGATTTATTAATAATTTTTGTTCGAGTTACAAACAACAAAGAATTAAAGTTAAAAAAATTTACTTTATTTCCAAACTATTTTATTAACAAAACTAAATAAAAGTAAATAAGTAACTTTACCTTTCAGTTTGTTTGTTTTAGTTTTTCTTATACTTCTTAATCATATCATTTAAATTCTAATAAACAAAGTACCTTATTTACATGATTAAAAAAGTTGTTTAAAAGAAATAAAAATGAAAATATTTTATAAATACAAGTTCTGGTTTTTCAGACAAACCTGTTGAATACATTTTCAATCAGTTGTTTTTTTTTCCTGTCCCCGCATAAAAACTTTAATAGTGTCTATATTTGCAGAAATTAAAAATTAACTTACTTACTGCAGAAACATTTGTTTTATTACTAATATCTTTTATTTTTTTAAAGTACAAAAACTTATAAATTTGTTTTTTTTTGTTTTGTTTTGTTCTAGTTTGCCACTGATAAATGTTACAAGTGTCTCCATCTCCATAACTTATGTGACCAATTTAATTTTCATTGTTTAACTTAAATGGGATGTCCTTGTTTTGAACTGATTACCATTAGGAAAATATTTGAGATTCAGGGTTTTACAAAAACTAGTTGTATATACTGTTTATTTATCTATTGCAGTTTACCTTGTATAAATAATGACTAGTTAGTTTTTTTTTATATAGTTGTGAATAATGGCAGACACTTTTGTGGGTGAGTTATTTATTAGTCATCCTTGGTGAGACACCCAGGACGTTAAGTGTTCCCAATATTTGTTCAGTTGCAGGTGCGTTTATCCCACAGCCACACTCACACAAAAATCATCTTTGTTTTCTTTCTTATATTAACTTTTGCTTTAAGATCTGAGTTCAAACAATTAAGTTTGTTTATTTGAAGATTTGCCACCAAAAATGAATTAAATTTAAAAAAAAAAAAAAACATTTAAATCTAGTTCTTATTTTATTTTAATGGTTTAAAAATTTCAAAGAATTAGGTTTACTTATTTGTGATAATTTTGAAAATTGAGGCTTCTTACTAAATAATTTAACCAATAGATTTTGTTTTTTATCTAAAAGTTTATGTAAAGTTCTTCATGTTTTTCCCATAATTCTTTTTATAAATGCTAGCATTTGCAATTAGATTGGTTAAAAAGATTTTCACTTGATTAATTTTTGTTAGATTCCTTTACAAAATGTCAGTTTTGGTTGTAATCGATTTTTTTTTTTTTACGAAACTAATAATAATAATCAATAAAAACACTTTATTTTTTATCCACTCCTTTTTAGTTAAAACTGTTTTCAAACTCAAAATAAAATCAGTTTTTATATTCAAGTTAAATAAATGAAAGAAATATGTACATATTTTATATACTGTTTTTATTCTTAATTTGTAGATGTTCTGTTAATTGCATTCATAGACGTTGATTATCATGCAGTTATGCAAATGCATTATTTAGTCTAGTAACACTATATTTCTATAACATATTTTTGTGCATTTTTTCTTCTCTTGTCACTCAAAACAAAAAAACTCTTTGCTTTGTTCTCAGGCTTTTAAGAGATACAACTAAATAAACTTGCTTACCATTTTCCATATGTTTTTCTATTAAAAAAATGATTTGTATTTATTTCTTGTTGATGTAATGTTACTGAACCTGAAAAGAACTTTAGTAAAAAAAAATTTGTCATTTACTGTAGCAGTATTAAGGTTACATATTAATTAGAATATCATTGCTGTGTTTCGATTGCATCTAGTTAAGAATCATATTTACCAACTGAAGTACCTATTAATGGACTTTTTAATTTATGAGAATATATATTTTTACCTTATTTTATTTTAGAAATCCTATCTGTATATATTTTATCAATGTTATCTTTCTCTCTTTTGAGTAAAAGTTAATTCATTAACTATCACTCAACTTACTGAAAGATTAAAACCCAGTATTTTTCCAGACATTAATAAAAGATCTTATGATTACTGGTTATACAATATGAAGTTGTAAACTTTTAAGTTTACATTATTCTGCTACATATAGTTTACTATATAATAAATAAAAAGAAGAAAACCTTAAAGAATATGGAAACCATTTATTTATACTTTTAAAGCTTTGTCGCTATTCTATCATCCAGTGTTCTGGTTGTTTTTTTTATTATGTTAATGAGTATTTGAAATTATTTACCACTACAAAAAAATAAACATTCATTTTGTATTAGTTTTCAAGCAAGGATTTTAATGAATTCTATAGTCATCCTACTTTGTGCATGTATTTGTTAGATAAGAGTATTGAACGTATATAAAACAAAACAAACATTGAATACTGTTGGTTTTAAGTTTTTAACACGTTGTACTATATTTAAATTGATTTTCTTGCAAGTAAGTAACTTGGCCAAATTTATGAATAAAATGATTCCAACCATTATTCCTCCCAATCCAACCCTTAATTCTTTTCTGGACCTACCAGATGGTATAGCATGATTCATCACTCAAGAGAATAAACTTCCACTGAATCCTTTTTGTGGTAGGTTTTGTACCATACTGACAATGCATTTGTGTATGGGGTGGCAATGGTGGGTGATTTATGAGTGTACATTTTTTTTTTCTCTTACTTATGTATTCCTTTTCTTGTTACTTTTTATCACAACTTTCAATGTTGACTTTTCTGATCCATGAAATGAATAAAGAAATAGTTTCTGACTTTAATTAATGTCCCATGTTCACACAGCTTGCCTTTCTTGGACCACACTCTAACCAATTCAGTCACTGAAGCAGAAATCTACAGTCCTATTGCCCTACTCTACTCTAAATCTTCACTCCCTATTGATTGATTTATGCCTTTATTACTATCCAGTAATAGTGTTTTTAATTATTTGAATTCTGATATGAAGTATTTTCCTTATGAATATTTACCTAGTCTTTTTATTGTTACTTTTTATCACAAACTGGAAGTCATAAATTAGGATTTTATCCAGATATTACTACATTTTTTTTATTATTATTATTATTTCCCCCATGAAAGGCAATAAAGCCACTAAGGCGCAAGAGGTTATTGAGTGTGAGAGAATATGAGAAAAAAAATAAAACACTATTAAAGAGAGAGTACAATAAAAGAATAGAAATTAAGAAGGCAGAAGATAATGATTGACATTGCATTTAAATTTTTGACGATTAAAGTTGATTGAGAAGCAAGGAGGAGGAAGAGAGTTCCACAAGTGAGAAATGCGATAAAAGATACTGTTAGCATAGAACTTACATTTACATCTAGCGATTTCAACTGTAAAATGATGTAACCTTGTCATCAGTCTAGTACTGCACTTAAATCCATAAAATCTAGGTGCCATAGAGGAAAGTTCATCAGAACAATTACCATGAAAGTATTTATAAAAAAGGCACAAGGGAAACTATGTTACAGCAGTGGGAAAGTGTCTGATGCCAGGACGAGACCAATAACATTGCAGATTCTTCTTTGGACTTTATCAAAAATCTCTAAATATATAGCAGAAGCACAAGACCAGATGTAGCAGCAGTATTCAAAGCATAGATGAATGGTAAGCTTATAAATAGGTAATGTAGATTCTGACAAGAAAAATGAAAAAATGTTTGCAGGT